TTTCAAGACAATATTTCCGGTAATTTACTAAGTAGTAATATAGTAAAATATAGTTACATTTTTTGGTAATTTCATCGCCTTAACTTAAAGTTGCACTAACAAGTACTCATAGATATAAAAAACACAAATTTATATCTGGAAAGAACTTTGTAGATCGAGTGTTCCAAGGCAGATTTTATAATTATTAAATAATTATTTAATATAGAGGTAGTTTTTGATTTGTAATAAACATTGTACGTGTAATAGATATGAATAAGGCATATAAAGATTCCCCATTTTTTTATTTTTGTTGGTGTATCTTTAACTTTAAGATTACATTTCTCCTATCCATAACACTATGTAACTATAATTAGTGTGTTATATTATTAGCCGGGGAGATGACTGCTACAGAAGTTGCTGCAGTTCTTGAGAAAGAAAGTGAACCAATAGATAACCCTATCGTTAGCAGTCGTGGTTTAAAGCGTACAAGACGAACTCCATTAAGATTTAATTAATCGTATATTTATAATAAAATAGTTAGTTAGTTGAATGAATGCTAACTATCTAATTTGATTTAGAATGGTTAACTGTTCTGTAGCCAAGTTATTGACTCACCTTTTGAAATATTACTGTGAGTAGACAGTAGGTGTTTATTAGTATGGCTAATAGGTGATTCCGTTACACCATTTATGTGATTCCGTCACACATACTTTAGTATAAATATACTATTATCTACTAAATAACTTATAATTGTTTCTAATTATTTGGAAACGGTATGTATTTTAACACACACATACACTTATGAAGTTAAATAAATTTAAATAGGAGAGCAAAATGTGTTACTATAATAATATACCATAAAATGTTTGTCCATAAATTGGTGATTCCGTCACGCATATTATTATATTAATACTATATGGTTATTATGTATTTATAGTTTTTTGGTATTAGAAGTATTTCAGGCCAAAGTTCAATCTTACTCTAAATATGCATGTTTTTGATCACAATTCCATTACATGTACTAATGAAATTATGCTCAAAAACATGCATATTTAGAGTAAGGCTGATCAATAGTATAAAACGTAACATGCCAAGTAGCCGATGGTCAATTAAAAAGATAAATTTAATTATTAAGTTTTGGATTACTGTTTTTTAACCAACTACAAGACTTTCGTACATTGGTTGTTTTTTCCTTTGTTGGTGTTTCAGGATTTTTATTAAAAAAATGTGACATGTATTCCTGTATACAGGAATACTTAAAAGTAACTTTTGACTTTCTTACAAAAAAACGTTTTCTTAAGCTTAAGTATATTTTTGAATCTGCTTATTCAACATTTTGAATAAACATGTTTCAAAAATATGCTTATAAAAACAAATGTATCAGACTAATAATAATTTTATTTAACCAGGCGTTAACTTTATTAAAAACAAAATAAACGATAAAAATTAATTTCTTTACATATTAATTTAATATTGATGTATTGGACATTTATTTTCGAAAAAATTAATTTTTTTGAATTGTACAGCTATCACTTTCTGGCAAAGAATTAATATTTTTCTTTTCTTTTGATTTTTAGCCCCCAGGATACCTCTCAACGTTTTCCCATTCTTTTAAGTCCAACTTCAAAGAATGGGAAAACGTTAAGAGGTATCCTGGGGGGCGGGGAGTTTGTTTTGGTACACCCTAAGGAGCACCTTAATAAAAACAACAACAAAAATAATTCTACTTTTAAAAATTTAAGTTTATATAATAAACAAAAATAACAAGTTTACAATGCAAACATTTGTAATTATAAAGGTGTTAATGAATTACATAAAAGTCAAAGGGCAAAAATGGTTCTACTGAATAAAATTTATTTTTCCTCATCCAGTCAATCATATTTGTTTGCTTTTCCATCAATATTTCTTTTTGCAATGGTGGAAGTATTGAAAAGAACTTCTTTGTACCCGTTAAAATGGCTGTCATTCAGCTCTTGCCAGTTCCCAAAACAGGCTGCATTAATTTGTTTACACCATATTTTTTCTTCAATATAGTGATCAGCTCAAAAGCAATTTTAGTGCTTGCATTTTGTTTAATGTATTAATGGAGTGTGACTTTTTGTTTAAGTTTTGGTTCATTATATTCATAATTAAAGTTCTCTATTGCTTTAATTCTGACTAAACTTTATCAACATTGTAAACGACGTTAGTAACGTGGAAGAAAGTCTTCTTTATATTGCTTTTGTTACTTGTAGAATTCTTGTAGAATTGTTTGAAATTTTTAGAGTATTTGAGTTCCTAAACTTAATATGTACAGTTTTTTATAAATGTTGTCGCAGTTTTTTTAAATTACTGTGTCTTTTTCTTTTTTCTTTCGATAAAGTAGACGAATTTATCAACAAATTTTGTTCTTTATCAAAGACTGGCTGCTGGCAAAAATAAAATTCCCAGAAGTTTGAAAATTCCATTTGAATTTCTGCATTGCATGTTGTTTGAGTTTGCATAAAGTACATAATAACTTTTATGTCTATCAAAATAAAATAATATTGTAACACGTACTAGTACGTGTTACAATATTATTTTATTTTGAGAGACGCATCAATCACTGAACAGTCATAAAATTCTGTGTATTTTGAAGTTATTGTTCAGAAGAAAATGTAAAAAATTTTTTGCCCCAATCCTTTTAAATTAACTTTACAAAATTTGTAAAATTCAATGTCTCTTTAATAGTATGCCACGTGCACTAATGTTATGGCAGATGTTTGATTTGATGCTAATCAAAAAGGTAGCTTAGAAACATATCCTTTTTGTATCAGTAGCTGATAAAATACTTTCGCTCTTTTCTTAAGAACCTTCTTTTTCTATAATAACGAAGTATCTCTCATTAGAACATCTTATTATTCTACTGTTTTTATTTTGAATTTTTCCAACACATTTTCTAACATTATTATTCTTTTCCTGATTCAAATGTTTTTTTTTTTATCTCCTCCTCTATTCTATAATTATTTTACCTTTGAACTGTTTATTTGCAATATTTTGTATCCAAATATCTTGGATATTTCTTTTAAAAAAATTCTGAACTAAAATTTTCTGAAAGCCAGTAATATAATTTAATGATAACTTATAGGACTGCGTATGACATATAATTGTAACTTGTAACTTATAAGTATTATGACTGTATCATTACAACATGTCAAAAACTACATATCATAGCTTTAATATGGTATCTTAGCAACATTTTATCTTTATAGTTACCTCTAGTTACGTTATGAGCTAACGCTAACTAGTCATTGACCTAATTTATTTTTCACTTCAACTCCCCAAGTTCTGCTAGGTACAGTCGAGGAAGCTTCTCAATTTTTAAAAAATTTGTGAAGTTCTCTCTCAACACTTAAGCTCTAAAGCACGATTCTTGACAAATAAGAAGCTGTTGTAAGGAGAAACAAGTTGAGCGCAGTTCTACAAAAGGCAAGGTATGTATCAAACTCAAGACTTTTAGTTTACAAAGCGAGCGCTCTACTGCGACATCACTGGCGCATGTATTACGTGATTGAGATAACAACCCAAGTGGTCAAATTAGCATATTGTAGAAAATGTTGCTAACAAATTGTTAGCCAATATTTCTTGGGACAATATAACATGGTAATGTTAATTTGTAAATTTAATAAATCGAATAAATTAAATGCAAAACAAAAAAAAAGTTAAAAATCCGCAATATGAAAATTAAGTTGGTATATTTACACGGCTTTGTTTATAATAGCCAGTCTCATTTACTCTGTATATTAAAAAGTATTTTTTAATACTTCCATCATAGTCATTATATCAACATTTTCTTTAAGTTTACTTTTATTATTTTCATAAACAAATACTTTTTCATAAATAACCACTTAGTATGAAAAATGTGTAGTGAGTTGTGGTAAACCCTAAGTTTACCACAAGACATCAACTGGACCACAAGACAAACATGAAAATTTTTATTATGTAAAGCACTTTTTTTTTCATTTAATAAGTATTAATGCGTTTGTTAATTATGCATCAAGTGTTATTATTATTAGTTCTATATTTGCTTGAGTTAGCTCCCTGTGTTTTAAAGTTATTAATGGTTTTCATTATATATATACAGAGCCGTAACCACAATTTTCATATTACGGGGCCCATATTAAATATTAAAGACCTTTTTTTTTTTACCTATTTTAGAGGCCCAGAGATAGGGAGAGGCCCAAACATAGCAGGGGAAAATTCTTTAAAAATATATGTTTTTCCCTAATAATTATAGTTTAATAATTTTTGGGGGGATCTCGACCCCCTGCCCCCCCCCCCCCCGGTGGTTACGGCTCTGATATATATTTTAACTATTTTTGAATTTTCAGTTATATCTTTGTTAAGTAAATATTTTTCCAAAAGTTAAAAACTAAAGTGTTTATTTTGTGACGAGTTTGCTTTTTTAAAGATGTTTTTGTTAACGGTGTAAACGTTTTTGAATACACTTTTTAGTTACTTTAGTAAGGTTTTGGAATCCTGAACTCATCTTGTGATGACAATTACAAAAATTATTTCGGATTACCTTATTTCTAATAAGTAAATAAAAATTAAGTTTTTATAAAGTTTACAGATAAACAGAATATTCTGTTTATCTTTTTAATTGTAAAATATTATTTATGTATTGATTATTTATATATGTGTTTTAAATGTAATATATTACATATTACATTCAAGTCCCTTGTTAAATTTACTGGTTTGATAGAAAAAATGTAATTTTACAACACATTGTTATCGATATGTTCTTTTTTACTATATATAAAAATCTCTCTCAATCTCTCTCTTTCTTTCTTTATTTCTCTCTCTCTCTCTCTCTCTCTCTCTCTCTCTCTATATATATATATATATATATATATATATATATATATATATATATATATATATATATATATATATATATATATATATATATATATATATATATATATATATATACAAACACAAAAATAAATGAAAATTTACTTCTAAATAAATAATTTTATTTTTCTATAACATTTACTCACCAAAATTATAGAATAAACAATACACATCCATATGAAAAGTTCCATGACTTTAATAATGATGAAAAAAAAGTTATTTTACTCTAATGTTTTAATTGACACAAAAGTAAAAATAACATTGGGTTTTGACGGAAGCAGCAAGGAGCGAATTTTATTGATGTTGTAGGGAGTCTTCTTGATGACATTTGTTATTGAATAAAAGCTTAGGAATAGCGGGAAGAATTGGTAAATATTTTGTTTTAAAATAAATGAAGATTTACTTTTAAATAAATAACTTGAATTTTATAGATTCAAAACCAGACATAACAAGCGATTGACAAACGATCAAAAAAAAATTTTTAATCATATAATAATTAAATATAAAGTATGTTTGTTGAAATCAAATAAAGTTAATATTATTTAAAGTACTTAATAAATTATTAAGATGAACAAAAAATATAACATTGCTATGAAACGATTTAAAAAAATAGAAGTACAAGCTATAAAAAATTTTTCAACCGTATCTTACATTAATGCGTACGTGTGGGTGTCTGTCTCTCTGTTTGTATGTATGTATGTATGTATGTATGTATGTATGTATGTATGTATGTATGTATGTATGTATGTATGTATGTATGTATGTATGTATGTATGTATGTATGTATGTATGTATGTATGTATGTATGTATGTATGTATGTATGTATGTATGTATGTATGTATGTATGTATGTATGTATGTATGTATGTATGTATGTATGTATGTATGTATGTATGTATGTATGTATGTATGTATGTATGTATGTAAGTATGTATGTATGTATGTATGTATGTACAAAAGACCGGGGCGGGTGTGATCATGCCATAGTATTTCTGCGTTAAAATAATTTTTTTGTTTGTGTAAGTTTTTCCTTCGCATGAGAGCGTCAATATTCTTTTACATTCGTTGACCAGATTTCTTAGTTTTGTCTTGAGGCGCTTCTAGGCATGACATACTGACTCCACCTTTTCTAGAATGATATCACCGTATTTCTTTTATGGATTACTTTTAACACGACGTGATCGTTAACGCACTTTCGTGAGTTTATTGCAGTGACAATTTTATTTATAGTATTAAACGTTTCTGCCATGTACCATCTATTGACACATAACATGATTGATATAGGTAAGTAAGCTCAAAAAATAGTATTTCCTTTATTTAACTGGTCAAATAAAGGAAATACTGTTTTTTGCATACTTTGTCTGGCAACTTTTTCATTGATTCTATGTAAAGATTCTGGAATGGAGTTATAAGTTTTACGACTACTGAGCAACATTTACTAATAATTCATACCCATGCTGACTTCTCTAACCGCAGTCACGTATCAAAATTTTGTTTAAATTTTTTTTTCTTGAACTTTATTATCACCAAAACATTTAGTGGAGTTTATTTTCAGAAAAGTTAGATTCGGATTTTTTAATTATATTTACACGATTTTCACATCAAGCTCGCTATAGATAAAAACTCGTCTACTCATCATTTTAAATGAAACTAGTCAATTAAACTAACGTCATTTGAGCTACATTCTGGACAAAAGAAAAAATTATTAAAAAATAACTTTAGGAGTTTATGTTATCATTTTTGTTATCATGCAAACAACTTCAACGAAAGCTAGATTTTTAATTTTTGGTCCTTGCAGACTGTTAGATTGAAATTTGTTATCACTTTCAGAATGTTTGTCTTCACTTACAAAATATTTTACTTTTCTTTCCTTTTGATAGATTTAACTACTTCCCATTAATTAATTTAAGAACAATATACGAAACAAAAGAAGTAAAATTTTTATAAACAAAACAAGTTCGCTCTAGCAAGCACACTTTTATAATTATCATCCATTTTTATTAACAAAACAACTTCGCTCTAGCAAGCACACTTTTATAATTATCATACATTTTACATGCAGTTTAAAATTATCGTAAATTTACATAACAGTTAAATAAAAATAATTTTTATTCAAAGACCTTGTATAAAATAATTAAAACAATGATAGCTTATATTAATTTAAAACTGTAACTAAAGTGTTGCTAAGGATTAATTTGTATATGTACCTAACTGAATGAAAATATCAAAAAATGATATAAGATATAAGATAAACCTTTTTCAAAAACTAAAAGAAAATGAAGTTTTCTAATAATCAAGATTGCAAATTTTTTTTATTAATATTTTTTTTTTTTTAACCACTTTTTGAATGGGCTTTGAATCAAAAGCAACTTTAAGTAAAAAAACAAAGTAAACACGAAGTCGTAAAAGAATACTTATTCTCAGTCTTTATGTAAACAATCTCTTACTTCTTAATATCAATTTTGTTTTAAATATACAGTTTTGTAATTTAAATTTCCTTCTGTTTTAGTAAATATATTTAATAAATTTCTAACATTGTCGGATTGAATAACGGTTGTATATGGTTATAATTGTATTTTTTTAAATTAAATTAACTAACGTTTATATTTTATTTAACTTGTTTGTAAATTTAGTATTTATTCAAATTAACTAGAAATTAATTAATTAACGGTTGGAAATAAATTTATTCAATAAATATCGGAAAAATATGTGATAAAGTCTGTGATCAACTAAAAAAAACATTTTTAAAAAACCCCAATCGAGTTTGTTCCCTTAAATATCAAAACTTTACTTATATTACGTTGAAATGGTTTCTGAAAATCCATTATTTAATATAAGATTAAGAAGTTAAATATTAAAAAAAATACTTAAAAAAATAAAACGCCTTAATATAGCATGACTATTTAACAATAGAGGTGCAAATAAAAACTGTTTATATCAGAAAACAATTGACAACCAATAGAATTTGCTCTAATTTGTTTTTGAAAAATTAAACAGTAGAACAAAGAGATTGCATATTATGGAGTGACGGTTTAAAATTTAGCTTGCATTATTCAGATTGAAAAAGAAATTATGAGATGAGAAAAAACGAGTTTATGCATTTAAATGCGAAGTAATAAATTAAACAATTAAACATTTAAAATTGTTTTAAACATGAAAATAAAGGATGAATTTAAACATGATGATAATAAAGGATGATTTTGGCATGTTTTAAGGCATTTTCAGTTTAGAAATATAAAACCAACGGCATCGCGGATCATTAAGATATAATTTATATCATTCATTGAGACAAAAAAAAAACTAAATCAAACAAAACAATTCTGTTTCAAAGATATATAGCGCAATATATAATACAAAACTTGTCAAGTTTTGTTCGACAAAGGCAATCATGTACAAAACCATTTCTAAGCAAGCATTGGTTTCTTAAAAAAAAAAAAATTAAAGTTAAAAAGATAATTAAAATAGACCTACTCCAACTAAACTTTCTGCTGTGCCGTGAACATTTAACTGCGTCTACTCCATACGAAGCAGTTACGGAAACAATAGAGCAAGATGCAGTCGTGGATTTATAGTATTTTGCACTGTTGTGTTATCATAATGATCATCCGCATGAATTTTTAACTTATTAGGTAAAAAATTTGAAACAAAAATAAAAACTCAAAAATTTTAAATTTGTCGTTTGGTCACGTGATCAAGACAATTTTTATTTCTATATGATTTCCGCTACAAGACTTAACAAACTTTAAAAAATCTCAACTGTTTCAACTAATTTGTATCAAATATGTTGCAAAAAGTATCCAAAAATCATTGTTATCCCCGTGGCGTACCATTCTTTAGCACTATCTGCAACTTTAGCATCTAAAATCACGTTTGCAATATTTCAAAAAACTTATTTATGATATTTATGACTTTAAATTAAAATATATATAGCTTTACTTCAATTTTGTTGTTTTTAAATCTTATTATTGAGTTTTTATAAGAATAATTATTTTGCCTCATTCACTTTTATGCTTCTAGTTCTCTCGTATACAAATGTTGATAATACTATTGTGTGTTATAAGTGTACGCGTGTGCGTATTTTATATATGCTACTTTTTTGACCCCAAACAATAGCTAAGATGAAAAGTGAACAAACAATAACAAATCAATATTGGAGTTAGGAAAGGAAAGTATTAACAAATTAAAGAAAGCATACTGTTAGCTCCTATAAGTTTCTCGTTAAGATGATTTAGCTGATAATACCAAGATATATTCCAAGATAAATTGATGGAATAAGTTTTATTTCTCGTTAACTTTAAGTTTAATTTTATCATTCATTTTTTGACGGGGATTAAAAATAATATATATAGCTTTGTGGTATTTAAGAAAATGCGATTACTATTTAATTAATCATATAAACGATTAAAATTTTGATTAGCTTTTTTAAAATACTTTGCAAGTTATATATATATATATATATATATATATATATATATATATATATATATATATATATATATATATATATATATTATATATATATATATATATATATATATATATATATACATATATACATATATATATATATATATATATATATATATATACATATATATATATATATATATATATATATATATATATATATATATATATATATAATATATATATATATATATATATATATATATATATATATATATATATATATATATATATATATACCAGGTATACCGGTATGAAATGAGCGTTTTTTGTGAAAATAAAACACTAATTATTAATGGGAAAGTATAAAACATTTTATTCAAAGTATTGGCCATTGTTTTCTACACATTTTGACCAACTTTCTGGCAATTTGTGGATACCACGCCAATAAAATTGTTCGTTTTTTAAAGCAAACCAACCAGACACCCAATTTTCGAAGCAAAATTTCACAAGTGTTTTTTCGGTTTTCCATCTGTCTTTCATTCAATTCATGTGGCATCCATTTTCCACACTTTTGGATCTTTCCCATAGCTTCTAAACGGTCAGAAATTGTTTGTTGTGCAACATTTAACATTTCTGCCATTTGCTTTTGACTCAAAGTGTCATCTCCATCCAATATCGTTTGCAATTCGGCGTCTTCAAACTTTTTTGGTGGTCTTCCACGTTCTTCATTTCTCACATCAAAATCATTATTTCTGAACCGTTGAAACCATCTTTTGCATGTTGCTTCTGATAGAGCATGATCACCATATGCCTCGACAAGCATTCGATGCGACTCTGCAGCACTTTTCTTCAAATGAAAACAAAAAATTAATGCTTTCCGCAAATCATCACTTCCTGGTACAAAATTCGACATTTTTAACACGATGA